GTTTTCATTTGGTATAAAGTTCATTATATACTCCTCCCTGGAATAATATTATTTCCTATCTTGTATCTTGGGGTATCAAGTCGGTTGGTCACGCTCATATTATGGATAATAGGAACAAAATGAAAGTATGGATAACTTTTGAAGGAAGCCCTAGGAACTCGAATCCTTTTAGGGTTATTACTAGGGCACCATACAGTACCTATGGGCAAAGTATCACTAAAATATGAGGGTAATACCTCGGGAGGTTCCCTCGTTAGTAAGATGATTAGTGATGTATTGACAATGAGAGAGGCCTATGTCTTTAACATTTCTTATATAAAACAGTTCTTGAATTGAATCTTCTACTGAATACGTCTAATTGAGCTTCTCAAACAATCTTCAGAATGATACTTGCATGAAGTAATCCCAGCCAAAGTACGTGTTTCAACTTCGACCTATGACTAAAATTTGTATTCTTCAACGTCAAATGAATGAAAATATATGATTTTTTTTATCGTAATATAAACAATACTAAAGCTCTAACATTGTAGAATATGACATGTAAAGTATTTTCTACATCGGAATGATATCAAAACAATTTTTTGGTCTTATGACATGTAAGTTACAGCAAGTCAAACAAAATCAGCTGAAACTATGAACACATACCTCCATGTTATGAATGTACAACGAACTTTCACTTTAAACACTTGACTTAATGCCTACTGATATAGATATATTGAGTGTATATACTCGAATCGTGTTAACATTCTATCCTAAAAGCGTAACCTTTGTATTGATGTAAGATCTTTCGGATACCAAAACTATAAATAATGAGAAATTTTATTTTTATAAAGCGTTTCAAAAATTGTTAGAACTACACATTCATCATACTAGCAAGGAACTCACCCAAAGTGGTTGATCGATTTTGAGATTATCTTTGAGGCATATAGAAGACAACTCTGAATTAGATTACTCTTACAATGATTCAGACCTCTAGGCATCTACTGTAGACTTACAGCGATTTTAATTTAATTTTAGGTTATGACACGAAATGCATATCCAAAGATACTGACGCTATTTAGATCTGAAACTTCGTGCACAAATAGATCTAGTTCTACTTAAAATTTCAGCTGAAACGAATTTTTCTTTGTGAGCTGTTGAATTCTCTAAAATCATTCAGTGCGATAAAATATACAAACGTCTGAAGTATTTTCGGCATTCGACATCTTGCAAAAGAAGATTATTTTGAGCTGAAATTTTTTTTGGATATTCTAATTCAAATTAGATCTATCAAGAAATCAAAGTTTCAGAAGAAAATACCGTTAGTCTCTTTGTACCTGTATTTCGTGCCATAGTCTAAAACAAAATTAAAATAGTTATAATTTTATAGCAGAGGCCTGTATATCCCAATTCCTGTTGAGCTAGTCTAGTCTAAAGGTCTGTTCTATACGCCCAAACTATGAGCACCAAAGTGATTAAACATTTCGAGCAATTCTCTCTTCAAACAATCAAGTTTGCATACTCACTAACAAGGAGAAAATCATTTATCTGGATGATAGTCTTCAGAAAATTCTTCAAGTACGCCTTCCAATAGCACGAACAAATGCATGTGCTATCACCATCTAATAACTCTCATGCTGATAACCTTCAAACCATTATTTCAGTAATAAACTCAACGATGATCATCTCAAAAACAGCACGATCACGGCTCTACAGTCGTCTTCACTCTAAAATAAAATATTTTCAGCTTATTTTCATTGCCGGGATCAGTCATTGATTTTCTATCTGATTGACTTCGCGTTTTTAATACTCGAATATATATTCCAACTTTCGGAAGATCAATTTTCATTCCTTACCTGCGTCTTTTGAAGCACTGGTGGGACAGATGCTCTCACCAGCAGATGACAGTGGATAACATACAGGACGTTCACAGCAAGTGTTTAAAAGGCAGATTGTCCCAGGCTTGTTACATGTTAGTGCTGCATTATCACATGATTCCAGTGTTGTGCAGGTCACAGACACACCGCAGATGCCACCACCTGTACTCGTAGAGAAGCATTTACATTCCGGATTACTTGGCGAACATTTACTGTAATTAGCACATGTTGCACCATTGCATCGGGCTACTAGTGGTACAGACACTTTAATAAGAGACAATATATTATTATTTATACAAGAAAAACAAAAGTATAATAATAGTATTACTAGTCGTTGTGCTGCTTATAGTGCTTGTCGAACTAGCGACTGTACTAGATGTTCCTAAAAGAGATAATTCAGATCACACAGGTAGTTAGCAACAAAAGAATAAATGAAAGAATATGCACTAACCAGTAATCATATCAACTGTCTAATATGAATCAAGTTCATACTTAACTCGTAAAGAAGATTTAGTAGAGATTAAGGTGTGGATGTAAAGCGTCGCTCAACCCACAGAATGGCATAGAAAATGTCGAAAAAAAAAATGTCGAAACTAAAAACGTCGAAAAAAAAACGTCGAAATAGAAAAGATCGAAACAAAAAATGCCGAAATAAAAAAGATCGAAAAAAAAAGGTCGAAAAAAAAAATGTCGAAAAAAAAATGATCGAAAGATGAAAATATCGAAAGAAAAAATATCGAACGTCTAAAAATGTCGAAAAGTTTGAAGATGGGGTAAATAAAAAACTTACTATTAAATTGTATCCCATTGGTAGCTAGCGTTACCGTACGGTATTCTTGGTAATTGTTCATTGTATGACGCGACTATTACAGTAAAAGAAAGGATAATCGTCGACAAACACAAAAATCATCCGAAGAATTTATTTTTTAATATATATATATATATCAGTTGGTTTTTCTTATAGATTAAATAGTATTTGTTAAATGTCAATCACTAATGATAATCCATCTTTTCTTGTGTCGAATAAAGGCAAGCCTTTACTAGTTTTAAATGGTATTGTCTTTAAAAAAAACAAAGAAACTAAAACGAAAAAGTATTGGGTTTGTGAAGCAGTTGGATGCGGTGTCCATGTGCACACGAGCATGCAAGATGTTGTAGTGAAGGTCAACGGCAATCACAATCATTTGCCACATCCAGAAAATATGGCATTAAAAGATTTTCGTACGAAGCTAAAACAACGTGTTATGACAGAAACAACTCCAATAACAAAGATTTATGAAGAAGAAGTTATAGCATCTGAGATGCTACCACAAACATTAGCAATTATGCCATTAGCACGTGAACTACGTAAGATCCCTGCATCATTATTACACCTATACGTATATTGTACATTTTCTTTTAGAACCAGGTTTAACATATGTTAGAAGAAAAATGACACCAATTTTACCTGATTCATCGGCGTTTGATATACCTGAATCTTATCAAAAAACTAATAGTAATGAATTATTTCTAGCTCGTGATACATTGATACGAAGACGAGAAAGAATGCTTATGTTTTGTACTAAAGCACAACTAGAATTATTGTTCGACAGTTCGGTGGTGATGATGGACGGTACATTTAGTGCCACTCCACCTTTTTTTGATCAAATTTACTCTATACACGCTGTTAAATTCAATACTAGTAATAAATGTCTTCTCTTTAGTTTGCCATATTTTTATTTTATTGTAGGTTTTCCATGTGTATTCAGTATATTGCCCAATCGCAAAAAATATACATATATGGAAATGTTTAAAGAATTAAAAAGTTTAGCTGTACAATCAGATCGAACATTTGAACCAACTCGTATTCTAACTGATTATGAACCCAGCATCATCGAAGCAATATCAACGGAAGCAAGTATTAATTAAAAGATAAAATACAAATATTCTCTTTTATGTTTAGTTTCCCAATGCCGTTCATAGCGGCTGTTTTTTTCATCTGACTCAGGCCGTTTATAGACGTGTACAAAATCTCGGTTTATCTACAAATTATGTCGAAGATATTGATATTCGTACATGTGTTCGAAAAATCATGGCTTTAGCACTGTTGCCATTAGACAAAGTTCAATTAGCATTTGATGATTTACGTACAAAATCATCAGAAAATACCAAACAAACGCTACATCAATTATTTTTATATTTCGAGAATCAATGGATGAAAAATATTCCATTAGTACTTTGGAATGCCAATGGATATAGTCATCGTACGAATAACATCTGCGAAGGTAACTCTTCTTTTAAACTATTCTGAAGTTCTTCGTAATATCTAATTAGGTTTCCACAACCGTCTGAACCACCGTCTTCAAAGATCACATTCAAATATTTGGTCTTTTATCAAATGTCTCCAAGGTGAAGAAGCAAAATTTCGACATACGTTATTACAAACTAATGCTGGTGCTCAAGGTCGCTCAAAAGCTGCAACTACAACTGCAATACAACAACGTATTAATACTTTAAACGAACGTTATGCAAATAATGAAATTGTCCTTAATGAATTATTAGATGGTTTGTCGTTAACAGTAGCAAAACAAAGCAAATAAAGTTTTACAGTTCACATACATCGTTATTTTAGCATAACTATTTTTTAATTTTTTTTTCGATTATCTACAATATCACCTAGGTCTGATTTAAAAAAACGTTCTATTTTCAAAGCATCAATAAAGTTGTTTACATTTGAATAATCCAACTATCTTATTTTAAAATTTTCGACATTTTTTTTTTCGACCAAACTATCATTCGACGTTTTCATCATTCGATGTTTTTTTTTTCTATCTTTTTTATTTCGGCATTTTCTATTTCGACCTTTCCTATTTCGACGTTTTTTTTTCGATCTTTTTAGCATTCGACATTTTTTTTTCGACGTTTTTTTTTCGACGTTTTTAGTTTCGACATTTTTTTTTTCGATCTTTTCTATACATACCAACCCACACAGCCACAATCACACCCCATACCCACCTACATGAGTACTGTTGATAAAAGATAGAAGTTGGGTTTTATAGGGGACGTCTTGACCATTATATGAATACTATTGATCGTTTACAAAACCTTATCCATGATAACAAGTTTTTAAAGCTTCTCACGAAAACTATTGGTCAATTTATGGTTAGTAAATACCATATACAAAAGCCTTGGCAGGAAAAACACTCTCTAAAGGATTTTAACGAAACTCAATTCACTTCGAGATTTCTTGAAAGTTCTGTAAACTCGCACGATACGAAACCAGATTTAGTGGAATTCTACGGAATATTGAAGGTTCAGCAGTAGTACCTTTTTTTTCAGCACATATTATGGCAGTTCAGTATACGTCACTTCATTAATTATTATATGAAAGCTGTCAGACGGGTGAAATCGCATGAGCCAAAAGTTCCTCCAAATTTCCAATTCTCCTTTTTCCAAATTATCTATTCTCCAAAAAAAATTGGTTTTTCTCTTAGATGATAATTAACAGATACAAATATCATTTTTTGATACAAGTAACAATTTCAGTTTTTGATAATCTGGCTTCAGAGTCAGATTCTCCGACCTCGACTTCCTTTCGCCAACCTTTATAAAATATCGTTATTTTCTCAAAAAACCCTTCCTTTGATCCTAAAAACACATTTCAAAATTTTGAAAAACTAACTTCAGATTCGTATTCTTCGACGTCGATTTATATAATAAGAGAAGATGTTTTTTTGAGATTCAGCTTAAAAATGGGCTAAATGGTTTCGTGAAGGCCACGAAGAACTTGAAAATGAAGACCAACCCGGCAAGCTTGTTACCAAAACAAGATCTGAAAATATTGAACAGATCCGCTTTCTTATCGATGACGATCCTTATACTACAATAGAAGAGGTACAACACGCATGGATGATAATATGCATTATTGCTACTAGCAAAAGTGGCACAAAAGTCAGTTTTATGATAATTTTATCATTATAATATCGATTGAATAGTCATCAAATAGCATAGAAAGATAGAGCAAAAGATGCTCTATCTGTTCATAAAAAAAAAAAAAATTTTCTTACGCATTCTATATAAAATTAAGATGTGGAGACGACTACTTTTGGTATGCCCTAAGCAGTTCGATTCCAACCCTGTGCTATTTGAACAGAAGTTAAGACCTAAAAATAGTTTTTCACTACTACTTACACTAACTTTTTCCCAAGCACACATCCTCGTTAATCGATCTTGTATCTGCTTCATTATCGATCATTCGAACTTGTTCACTGCGAAAATATGATCAAAAGTAGAAACATCTAACGTCTCAAGATTTGCTTCATATTTAAAGGAATTTAATTTATGACCTCAACTATTTATCTTGTATGATTTTGAGAAATTTTAATATATCATACAAGTCACTCATTATCAATAATGTGAAGCTTTTGTCGAATCCTTATAATTTTGTTACATCTACATCCGTAGTCGAAGGCATGCATACAACTTATAGAAAAATTAGATAACTAACCTTGAGGTTTGGGTGAACATTTCATAACGTTGACAGCAACCGTCTTATTGTAAACATATTGATTCGTTTTTGAAGCATCTTCATTATTTGCACCGATAACACGTACTTCTCCTGCTGTGTCATTAAAAACAATGTTACCATTCTTTCGAATTTGGAAACCCCAAGTATATGTATTGGCGCCGTTCCAGCATAAGAAATTAAAATTGTTGACACCATCATGAGTATAATCACTAACATTAATCCAGTCGGAATCTTCCATATAAAGTATACGTTTAACCTGTTTACTATTCACGTTGGCATACAATGCATCATCCGAATTGTAAAGACGAATATAAATCGAATCTTTTATGCAGTCTAGAATTCGAAAAAAAAGATATTTTAGTCAGTTCTGTTTCGTTGACATAGTGCTGAAATTTGATTGATATCTTGTTCTATGACTACCTTCTTCAGTTTCGAGAGCGTCTATCGCATTTATGACAATTCATAACTATTATCCGATTCAAAATAAAAGACAGGATGCTATTTTTCGAATAATTTTTGATAGGAACGAGATAGAGAGCTGCAGTTTTCGCCATTCGAAAGAGCGGGGTCTGGACACCAATTCGACAGGAAAACTAAAGGGATAGCATCATATTAAGGTACGATTATTCAGCTAGACTTTTCTCCAACTTCATCACTCTGATAAACTCAAATATATGTATCTACAATAGTTTAGGAGTGGATTCGGTAGCTAGAATCATGCTGTATAAAACTATGCAAGCCACAGATATCTCTATCAATTGTAGTTTCAACAGGGTATCACTTTTCTGGAAAGGACAGCATTGCATTTTTATATGTTCTAATTTCTTCTGGGAATGTGAAAAAAGCACAGAAAAATAGGTTATCAAATAACAAGTTCTATACCAAATGAAAGTCCGCCAAAAATGGAATTTACCAGTATTAAATGGTAAGGATTCTACAACGCTTTTTATATCAAATATAATAATTTTCTACAAATGTCCGTTATTTTAGTATGAAAAAAAATGTCTTTCATGAGGCAGTTCAAAATAAATCTGATTCAAATTTGTGGTTTTCAAGAGGATAATGCTGCAGAAATTTCTAGAACGTTGTTATATTTGATATAAAAAGCATTATAGAACTCTTACGATTTAGTAACTGGTAAATTCCATTTTTGACGTGGTTTCATTCGGTGTCAAGTTTATTATTGACTCTATTTAAAATCGCAGTATTATCCTTGTGGAAAAATATTCCGACACACCCTGTGTATATTTTCGTTAGCATGAAAACCTACTTATTCATGAAATTTTCAGTTGTATTACAATGTCTGATTTCGAGTTGAAGACTCATATTATTGGTTAAATCAGAAACGCTCTTTTCGAAATGGAGTTAACTATTTTGTGATATTCGACGTAGTTGACAACCTATTTTTCTGTGCATTTTTCACATTCCTAGAAGAAATTAGAACATATAAAAATGTAATGCTGTCCGTTCCAGGAAAATTGATGGCCTGTTCAAGCTATAAATTATAGAGATCTGCGACTTGCGTAGTTTTATACAGCATGATTCTGGCTACCAAATCCACTCCTAAACTAGACGTATATATTGGACTTTGTAAGAGTGACGAGGTTGAAGAAAAGTCTAGCCGATTAACCGTATCTTAATAAGATGCTATCATTTTAGTTTTCCTATCGAATTGGCGCCCAGGCTCTGCTATTCGGAATGGCAAAAATCGCAGCTCTCTATCTCGTCTCTAGCAATAACTATCGTAGTCATTGAAAATCTTTTATAAGAAATAGACTAAAACTATCTCTTTTCTCTTTTTCTTTCCGTAATCTGATAGTAATTGAGAATGTATATTACGAGCAATATATTAAAATTAATTCATTTCATTTTCTTTTTTTCTACTCTTAATTTCGTCATCTTGATAGTCAAAGAGAATCTGCTACGAAACATAGATTATAATTATTTGGTTTAGTTTTTTTTCTTCATTTCATTTTCTTGACCTAACTGCCATGGAGAATTTACAACGAAAAATATGCTAAAACTACTTCGTTTATTTTCTTTTTCTTCTGTTGATTTTGTTACCTACATAGTTGCAGAAAAATCTATTAGATGAAATTGATTAAAATTTTTTCGTCTGACTATTTTTTGTTTCTTTATTATTTCATTATTCTAATTGCCCTCGAGAATCTATCACGATAACTAGATAAAAATTATTTAGTTTGATTATTTTCTTGACTGGTTTACTTTCGGTTATTGATATAACTGACATGTCGTCGTATCACTCATGAAGTTTCATCATCATCATCTGTAGCGTATCCTACTGGACGTTGCTTTCACTACGAGAGTCTCACCATGAATTACGTAGGCAGAGAATTTCCTTGGTTCCTTGCCAGAAGAACCTAGGTAAGGTGGCTGATCGTTTACAAAAACCATCTTTCTGTCCGCTCTAGACCGGTCATCCGGTTATCACCTGTGTTGGCCATCGTTTTCAGGGTTCTTGTTCAGCCTGTCCACCTCGCGTAGTTCCCTAGATGATTCTTCAGCTGGAGCTTTCATCACTGATGACATAGTCTCAACGAGCAGGCCCCTACTTAGATGTTCGCCCTCACACCACGACGAGGTACAGGACGGGTTTTGAGGGGGCATGAAATTTCGGCAACATTGATACTACTCCATAACCATTTTTGTTTAGTCATTTCTAAATCTGAAAGCTCATTGATGATAGTTAACAATTATTTCATATTTTTCTTACATACTTCCCATCAACAATGGAAATTGCTAATAATTCTCGCATTTTCCTTTTGACAAGCCTATGACGTGTTGGTGATGATCATGAACCATCTTTGTGCTCTTTCATGAATTCTCAATGCGGTTTATGCTTGTTATTAAACGCTTTATAAACCGAATTATACACATTTTATAGTGTTGAAGAGATTTATTTATTCCATGATATTCTCCTTCTTAAACTGTTGTACTGATTGATAAAGACAATTAACTCTTGCATATATTCTTTCATAAAATGTTTATATGAATATTGATGCTTATAAATCCTTTCATAAACTCTTTTATTAATCTATAAGGCTCTCGTCAATGATGATAAATATTTCTCTATATACTTTTTCATAAATCTTTTATGATGAATATTTGAAGTTAATAAACTTCTTTAGATTTTCTTTATACATAATTTATCAAAGAGTTTATGAAACATTAATAAAATGATAGAAAAAGATTTTGTTATATGCTGCACTTTCATGAAACTTTTTAACATTCATTATTCTATAGTATCTTTTTTATAGTATATGGAAAATGTCTTAGATTATACTTTAATAATTCGTTAAAAATAAATCTTTCTCTCAATATATTTTAGATTTGTTTTATTTGCATCAATCTCATCAAATATGTTCTTCAATTTTCACATTACTTAAATAAGTAAAGGCGTAATCGTTAATATATATGATATTTGACATTTTCAATGATGAAAAACTTACCACCACAAATGTTTTCGTTGGTACAAATGCCACTAATACAGTCACAATTATTCTTACAACCTTTTGAATTTTCACATTTTGCACATTTACTACCACCACAATCAATATCAGTTTCATCTTGATTTTTTATTTTGTCTTGGCATGAAGCAGAAGCTAAAATGAAAGAACTTGTCAAGCATAGAATTTGTAAATATTATATACTTACCAGCACATATATTATTTTCGCAAATGCCACTAATACAATCACAATTAACTTTACAACTCCTCATACCTCCACATTTAGGACATGAGATACCACCACAGTCAACATCAGTCTCATCTTGATTTTTCTTTTGATCCATACAAAGAATAACTAGAAGTAATATTAAATCGCATTATTTTAAAATTTTATATCAAGATGTTTTAGAAAAGCTTGTTAGCTCAACTCCTGGAGAACTGAAATGTAGAAGTCATGTATATCCTTCAAACTTGTCAGGCTGGTACATCATTTGTGAATCCAAAAAAAATTTTTTAAATATTTACGAAAGTATTAAAATATTTTATAGAAGCTGAACCATATTGTGCGCGGTTACTGAATCCTATAATGGGGTGGAAGGAGGAGCCATTAAATCTTGAACTTACAACTGCTATGTGGGTGTCTGTCAGCAGGTGAATGTGTTATTTCATTTTGCACCCAATTCAGACTCACATCCGAACTAGGCAACTAATCAAACAATCAGATATGCGCAATGTTATTTGTAGATATTTTTAATCTCTACTATAGGAAAGTCATTCATTTCGTATCAGCATCAGAAAGTGTTATGAGATTTAAGAAGAGAAGCTTTCTATGTATATTAAATGATTGTTTTAGAAGAATACTAAGACGTACGTTTGAATTAATTTTTTTCTAAAATGCACAAATATTCTTATCTGAGAAAGTCTTCTGGAAAATTATAGTTACACTGATCATTTAGAATACTTTGTATTATATCAAAAACAAAATAGTAAAATTTTTCTAATTTGACATATCAATAACATTTTCTATGAGTAAAAGCACGTTTTCAAAAATATAGTATATTAAGGCAACCGATAAAAAGTCCTAAAGTCAATTAGAAGATTAACACATTCGAGATGATGTGACCCACTGGTGAGTCACGATATGTTTTACGATAAAACGGAATAGAAAAACACTCCTTTTTGCGTTTTTCCTAGACAGGAAGTTAAATTTCATATTCCATCGGTACTGTCTGCGGTATTTGTCTTGAATCCTTTATTCCATAGCACGTTGTTTTTTCCCTCGACTGAAAGGAGGGTCATATGAAAAAAAATAGTTTGTATGTATGTATGTGTCAGGGTCAAAAGAACATCAGGGTCAAAAAAACATCCATTTAAAGTTCGTTATTATAAAGGTTGACGAAAGTAAATCGGGGTCGGAGAATCCGAATCTGAAGTCATATTCTCAAAATTTTGAAATGAGTTTTTAGGGTCAAGGAAAGGGTTTTTTGAGAAAATAACGATATTTTATAAAGGTTGACGAAACTAAATCGGGGTCGGGGAATCCGAATCTGACGTCAGATTTTCAAAATTTTGAAATGAGTTTTTAGGGTCAAGGAAAGGGTTTTTTCGAAAAGTAACGATATTTTATAAAGGTTGACGAAAGTAAATCGAGGTCGGGGAATCCGAATCTGAAGTCAGATTCTCAAAATTTTGAATTGCGTTTTTAGGGTCAAGAAAGGGTTTTTTCGAAAAGTAACCATATTTTATAAAGGTTGACGAAAGTAAATCGAGGTCGGAGAATCCGAATCTGAAGTCAGATTTTCAAAATTTTCAATTGATTTTTCATGGTCATGGGAAGAGATTTTTGAGAAAAGAAAGAAATTCTATAAAGGTTGACGAAAGTAAATCGAGGTCGGGGAATCCGAATCTGAAGTCAGATTTTCAAAATTTTGAATTAAGTTTTTAGGGTCCAGAAAGTGTTTTTTCGAGAAAGTAACGATATTTTATAAAGGTTGACGAAAGTAAATCGGATCGGAGAATCCGAATCTGAAGTCAGATTTTCAAAATTTTCAATTGATTTTTCATGGTCATGGAAGAGATTTTTGAGAAAAGAAAGAAATTCTATAAAGTTTGACGAAAAC